GTCCCTTCCAATCCCCAACATTCTGTGAAGATCCATACGTACCTGGCTTTGACGGTATTGATATTGAGGGCACATTTGGTAGTGGTACTGTCTCGGGACCACTTATTTCCAGCAAGTTTTTGTCTAGTTCTTCTTGTTCTAGTTCCTCTAGTTCTGCCATGAGTTCATCCTAGTTTTTTAAAGGAAAAAAAAAAAAACAAAAACAAAACAAGAAACTTTAAGTGATATCTATTAGCAGGTAGATTTAGCTGGTTATATTATTAAAGAAAGTAGCTTAAACACAGAGCAAACTGAGGAAATGAGGAGTCTGAATCTTCATCTGAATTCCTGTAAGTGATCTCTTGGAGAGTGAGGAGGGCAGGGAAAGCAGTGAGGAGAAGAAGAAATCCAAGCCCAAATATTCTCAGATCAGGCCATCCAGACCATTCTCAGCACAAAGTCAGGGTCATGGCTGCTGTGTGCACTAGTAAGAGATATTTTATATTCTTTTACTACACTAGACACATGCAATAGGCAGATCTTAAAAGAAAGATGTTACATGAGTCAGTACCCCTGAAGGTATTTAAAAGATGTGTGGATGTGGTACTTGGGGACATGGTTTGGTTGTGGACTTGGTAGTATTAGGTAACAGTTGTACTCTATGAACTTAAGGGTCTTTTCCAACCTCAATGATTCTATGGTTTTAGTATGTAAAGACAGGCAAATTTAAAGCATACCTCATCAAATTCTTCCCCAAATCCTACTGGCTTTGAGATGGCTGTTGAAATCTCATCTGCCAGCTCTTGCTGTTCTGCAATGTCCTGCATTAATTCATCTACTTTATCAATATCCCTGGAAAAGAAAGGAAAGAGTTCAATATCATCAGGCACTTTCCCAGTCAGTGTTTAAGACCATAATTCTTGGGTTTTTGTAGAAATGCCACACCATGGTGACATTCTACAAGGTCCTTTCTCAAAATATACTTTGCATGCAAGTCTGAATTTTATTCCCCTATCTCAACAAAATTATGCATGTATTTTTTGCTTTCCCCTAAAAGCTTAGCTCACAGCAGTTATACACAGAGACTTCACATGAAGAGGTTTTGTTCTGCACTACTGGTATTAATAATAATTTGCTCTGTTCCCTGATCCAGCATTATTACATTACATCTACAATATTTGCTTTGGAGCAAGTACAACATTCCCATAATGCAGTTTACCTTCAATTATTGCTGCACACACAAACTCCACTGCACAGAAAGAAGTTTAAGTCTTTCCTTGAGGCTTAAAATTCCCGCTGCTACTAGGAGGATCTGTAACTGATGTACCCTCCCATTAGCTTTAAACTACACTGGTGCTAGCTTTCTTCTGGACAAAGGCAGCTGCTTTGTGCCATAAAAAATGGTGGCAGACTGAGAAAGCACCAATACCTGCACATTTTGTTCAATATGAAAGAATATCTAGTATTTTAATTTAAGGTATAGGCTTTTAAAATAAGATTTTGCTGCTCTAGCTCTACCTTTGGTTATTCAACACCCAGCATTTAGCAGATCAAATAAATGACAACTAAAGGTCCTATGGAAAGATGCAGAAGGGAATAACTTACATGTTGTCATGAGCAGCTTTCATAGCTTTGGCAGCAAAACCCATATTCTTAAGCACTTCAGTGTTAGTGTTGGCATTCTCAAGGGCTTCCCTCTGAAATTCAATCGTTGATAAGGTGCCATCTATCTGTGCGAGCTGCTTCTCGTACCTCTTCTTACGCTTTAGGGCCTGAAGAGCAGCTGAACAACAAAGAAAAGAGTAGGATTAGTGAGATTTGTGCCCAAAACGACCCTTCACATTTTGTACCAAATGCCACTCAGTACAAGAACTTTTCCTCCTTAGATAAACTAAGTTGCCTCACCCTTGTGTTTGCCGCCTTCAACAAAACTGTTTAAAGGTGGCCCAATGTCTGCTGTCCATCCCCTGTTCACATGAAGGATGCAACTCAAGGATCAGTAGTCCAGTCACTGGTAACACATCACAAACCAGAGACTACGCTACAACAAACAGCAGGCTTCAATATGCAAGCTGATCCACTTAAAAACATCTTTATTCACCATCACCCCCAGGACAGCAAGGCACAGTTGTTGGTGTAGCTCCTGTCAGATGAGGTTCTGATGCTGCTGCAAGGTCCCTACCAGCCAGCTGAACTCCTGTGCAGCTGCTGGGAGAAGAAACTCCTTCAAATACAAAGCAAGACAAATGTTTCTTCAGCTTTTGCTACTTCATGCTGTGAAATACACATATTTGTACACATCTAGAAATATTTATATATAAACAAACTTTGTGTATGTTTCATACTACTCCTACTACAAGGTACTGTCCACAAACCAATCTCTACTGATAGAGATGAGACAAGAGATGCCATCACCTAAATTGGTTTGAGCTTGCCTTGCTTTTACAAGAGGAGCCCGCCCACGACAGCACTACCACAGAGCTCCACACCCACGCGGATCCACTCCGTGTAGAAGGACTGGTCCAACTCATTGCACAGCTAAGCTTCTCCAGCTCCTTCTGCAAGGCCCAGCTCCACCCCATCCAGACAGGTATGCATCCCACTGGTGACAACAGCCAGCTCTCTGTCCAAGACACCCAGACAGACAAGAGACCAGTGCACGTTCGTTCTGGAAACACTGACAGCAAATACAGACTAGACTGACATATAATCTTGCCTGTACACGGTTAGAAGGTTTGGTACCAGCTGCAGCGTGGGCAAAACCTACCAAGTACTGTAGGTTGATGAACAAACATGAGGTATCACACAGAGAGACACATGATGAGAGCTTCCATTCATGGCATTTCATCTTCTTCCCCTCCTGATATGAACAGACTTGTCCACTGTGTGACAGACACAGTCATGTCATACACCCACCTACTTTAAAACCTCAGCCTGGACACCAGCTGCCGTTTCTTACTCTGTGTTTCTGAACTCAGCCACATGCACACTTCATTTCTTCAGTGCTCTAATCTCTCAGCAGAAAACTCACAGCAGAAAACCATTAACAAGACACAGGATGAGCTCTTCCAGCACAGCTTATACAAGCACACTGCACACCGAACATGTGCTCTGCTAAAAATCAGCAGCCTGGACCTCCCAATAGATCACTCACACGCACCAGGAATGGTGGCAAATAAAGGCTTTAAATCTTCAAGATGTTATTTCAAAACTTTGCAGCCCTGTTTACGTTCCCACAGCAGATTTGAGGCAGGGGACCACAAGGAGTAGGAAATCCTGACGGCAGACAGGTTCCTGTACCACCCATACTAGAGGGATGATAACTTTGTGACGTGATGAGTGTGTTCCTCAAGCAAAATAGCTCCTCTCCTACAAGCGGATTAAGCCTGCAAGGAACCACACATATTTTGTCAGATGTTATCTTGAGAAGCTTGACAGTCCTTCAAGATAACGTCCTGGTAGCCAGAAGCCCTAAACAGACCTTCAGTTCTACAACTGGTTATGAATATGCTGTGTTTGATCACTTACACCTTACACTAACGTGTTAGAGAATTTAAGAAGTACTTTGTGAAGGTTGCACAGGCTGATTTAGTGGCAGTGATCAAAAGCACAGGTCACCTGGACTATTCCAACACAAGCCAAGGACCCAAAACAAGTCCCTTCACTGACTTTCCATCCAATGACCAGTAAATCTCCCCAATATTTTGGGGCCAGCCTGATATCCATTCTCATTTCACAGGACCGGGAAGAGGATTGGGTTTTCGTGTCACACAAAGGACAATGTTTGCTCTGCAGAATCAAGCACAACACAAATATCATCTAAAACATTCCAGCTTTATGCCAGATCATACAGAGATGAGCAACACATTACCAGTAAGGTTAGTTTGGTTCATTTTGCACTAATGGTTTAATTAAGGATATATAAACTTCTCTTACTTAGAAAGATAAATCTGCTAATAGGCTGTGTTTATACAGTGCCAGATGCTGGGGAAGTGTCAGGCAGCGACAGGACACTCTTGATTGAGGATTTTGTGCATCATGGAGAATTACTGGCAAAACCAGAGAGTTTATAACCGTTCTACAACCCCAAGGAAAGTACCACAATTTATGGACAGTTCCCCCCTGTCGCTTTCCCTGAGAACAGCCACAGTTTATCTACATTTCATGCTCATGGACTTTTAGAACAAACCACTCAGACAGCAAACATTGTGAGCATCACTGGAAAAGAGCTTGTGAACAGGAGATTTTGAGTGTTGGGTAAGCCTGCCCCTCGTGTTCCTGTGCACACCAGTTCAGCGGACCAGAACTGCCCTTCCCAGCCTTCACCCTGCTTTAAAAATCCTTTCCTTGATTAATTTCTCACTTTTATACACAGATCAAGGCTCCTGCTTTTACAAAAGCATGGTACATCAGCTTCCAGCTTGCAGAACTGAGCAGGAATCCCCCCACAAGACCTCGAAGATGGCACACATCTGCCACCCAGGTTCAGGCTGCAGCACGGCTCCCTGCTAAGTTCCTGATGAACCTCCTCGGGTTCCTGATGGTCTCTCAGCCAAGCGCTGACCACAGAGTCCCAGAATTGCCTGGACTGGAAAAGACCTTTCAGATCATCGAGTCCAACCATGAACCCAACACTGACAAGTCCCCTATGACTAACCCATGTCCCTCAGCACTATGTCTACATGACTCTTCAGTCCCTCCAGGGATGGGGACTCCCCCACTGCCCTGGGCAACCCCTTCCAATGCCTCAGAACCCTTTCAGCAAAGAAATTCTTCCTCACATCCCATCTCAACTGCCCTTGGTGCAACTGGAAGCCGTTTTCTCTTGTCCTGTCCCTTGGTCCTTGGTTGAACAGACCCACCCCCACCTCTCTCCACCCTCCTCCAAGGGACTTGGACAGAGCCACAAGGTCTCCCCTCAGCCTCCTTTTCTCCAAGCTCAACAACCCCAGTTCCCTCAGCCAGGAACTCATCACACTTGTGCTCCAGACCCTTCCCCAGCTCCGTTGCCCTTCTCTGGACACTCCAGCGCCCCACTGTCTGCTACAGTCAAAAGCCTGGCATGTAGATCGCTGGCTAGGAACGGGAATATAAACATGTTTGCTTTAAAAACTGCCTTGCTTCAAGTGAAAACTTCAAATGGATTTGTGGTATTCTCGAGAAATGTTTCCAACACCTTTGAATCAAGAGTGGCCAAGGAATCTGTTCCTATTTCCCCCTCTCTCCAGTAAGGCCAAAGCAAGGACAGAGCTTCCCATGGCCACACTGCCCACCTGCACCTACTTGAAGGCCAGCTTGTAGAAATGCCTGTGTCAGCAGCCTAAAAGGAATAAGGACTGACACACAGCCCCAGCAATAAACACGGGGCCACACATAAAGCTTCTGTGCCTGGACAGGTCAGCGTAAATATTTAGCACAGATCAATTAACATCGAGGTGATAAATGAATTTCTGCAATGAAGAAAACCTCACACGAGAGACTGTAATTTTTTTGCAGCTAGAAGCACTAAGGAATGTAGAACAAGATATTCAGTGTCTCAAATTAGATAATGACAACTTCCTGCAAATTATTTTCATCTGTATTTCCTTATTTAACCAGCTTTTCATGTAAAGTCCTTGTTTATAAGTAGAGGATTTTATTAAGCTGAAAAAATAAGAAAATACCAAGTTAATTTACATCACTTGCATTCATTTCATCCCGCAAGTTCTGGCAATTCATTATCTATATTCCTCCCCATGCAGAAGAAGATTTGCAGTTTACATGCAGGATTCTCCTGGTTGCAATTAGCAGCACAGCCCTTTTGTTGCAATGAGCAGTGCCCCTTCCACAGACGTTCCCAGGACACAAACACAACGCGGAGAACACCGGGTGCTGCACATCTGTCCTCTGCACGGTTTGGCAGAGGCTGCTCAGGTCTGGTGCAAACCTTTCTGGGCAGAGAAAAACTTAATGAAAT